TTCTGTTACAGGTTTAAACCAGTTTCTGATCACTTAAACAGGTTTGCGTGTAATGTCTGTCCCTAGCCAGAAGTAAGCTTGACAAATCTCATGGGTTTTCTTGTGGTATTACATCAAACCTGGCTCCAGGCATTAATAAGCACTTGGTTTGAATTTCGGTCTAAACATGAGAAAAGGCTCTTTCTCTAATTAAACTGAGTCTATTACAGAGAAAGTAAAATGGATAAAGCCCAGATATACTTGAGATATATTCCCAGGCTTTTTGAGACTTTGTGCCTAATCACTAAGTCAGACCTGTAGGATATGCTGCGTATTTGCATCTATTTAGTTAAGTATTTACTTGAATACAAACAAGATATAAAAATTATCTGTAAACACCTCTCTGTCGGGGGGGGAGAGTTTCCGAGTGCTGCAGCTTCTGGGAATGATGTGTTGTCTATAATGATATCTGCTGTTGCCTATTCTTAGAAAATAATTTCTTTGGTTTAATTATATTTTGAGGTAGGAAAAAATTAATCTAGAAGCTACACCCTGTGACATCAAAGGAGACTGGATTCATGCAAACAGAGGGCAGGCAAAAAAACCCAGCGAATATCTCTCTTGACAGAGGCTTATTTTGCTATCATTATCTAAATGTGACATTTTTCACACATGTAGAAAGATGTTCCCTAAGACAAGGAAATTAAGATAATTACACTATGTGTAGTATTCCTCATCATAAAACATAAATTCTGAAATATGCATAAATCCAATCAGAAGGCATCTTTTCATCATACCTCTAATGTCTTTATACATTTTGGTGATGCAAGGCTCATGAAGCTACAGTCACCTGGTTTCAGTTTAGTCTGAATGATCCAGTCATATTAACATCTGGTGTCTTGAACCCTCCTGTTACATATGGAACAATATTTCTTCCTTTCAATCAGTGGAAAAAAACTACTTATGTCTTGATGTTACTATTAGTGATTGTTTTTCTTCAACTGGTGAGTGAGCTTAAAGGAACTTGAGTGTTTCACCATTTTTTTACTTTACACTAACCTTACCTGGTCCTCAAGCAACTGACGTTCAAAAAAGTCAAGTGCAATTATTGCAATTTTAGACACAGACTCGCTATTTGTCCAGCTCTCCAGTTAATTAGCCCTGATAACTGCATGTACACAGCAGGTTACCAAATATGTACGTTTTTCTTCATGTCTCATTGGGAAAAATCAGGCCCTAAACACAAAAAGAAAAAAAAAAGTGTCTCCATTTCAGTGGTCCACTCTAGAAAAATAAGGTATGTTCTTAAAAGAATAGCTATATATGTTGTAGAAATCTTTTGCACATACAGACATCCTTTCAGAGTACATGTTACTAGAATTCTGATTCAGGGCTGTGGATGCATTTTAGCCAGCTAGATAATTTAAGATCTAATAATATGAATTGTAATCTTGGTAATGAGAACTCCTTGTGCTTCCTGGAGCAACTTGATCATCTATAGGGTCATTAAGAATCCCTGTTCTTTCCTCATTTACAGCATAAACACTTTAGGCACTGCTGGAGTCAGGAAGGTGGACTCCATTAAATCCTAATGGTCAGATCTGTTAAAACCAATTCCTCATTTCTATTTGAGTTCTCTGTGCAGCAGCAAAATCATTTCTGCTTTGTAACTTGCCAGGGAGGGAGGGAAGAGAGACAGAGAAAAGAAATTTGACTTAGGATATCCCCTTTAACATATTTCATCAAAAGAATGGATGAAATATTTATTTGGCTACTGTCCTTTGCCTTCCCATCAAAGTGAATAGGCAGACATTTAATAACACATGGAAACATTAAAGAAGATTTTTATCAGGATGTATAAGAACCTGCTCAGAACAAACACTCTGGCCTAAGGGAGACTTTTTGATCTGTGGAGTTGAAGCTTTTGGTGTTTTAAACACTCTCGTACTTGGGTCATGTGGTCAATTTGCATGGAATAAGTGATTTGCTTAAAACTTGTAAAAAAAACCCTTATAAAATAGAACTTGACAAGTCATTAGTGGTAAATGGTTTAGCTCTGGGATTATACTGAATAACACTGGAGCAATCATTATAACTCTGTTAGTATAACAAAGGACAGCAAGGTAACAGGGCTGTCCTGTATATTGACCTATAGGTACTAGATCCGTACCCCAGGAGATAGATTTTTATCATGCAGCACAAAATTATCAACCATCCTTCCTAATTACTGACCTACTCAACATGCTGAGCAGCTCCCTTTTATCATCCCTTACAAAAAGCAATTAGTTCAAATTGTATAATTTATCACTTCAAGATAGGCATAGTAGTTCAGTGCAGGGGTAGGGGGTAGAGGAAGGAAGAAACAGATTTAAACTTCTGTCCAGTACTTTCATTGAATCTTTTTTGAAAGTAGGAAAAATTTAGATTCTTTTCCCAATTCTGTACTCATTTTTCAACTACTGATACTTTTGGACTTCACCTTGGAGTAGATCTGGAAATCATAAAATCCTGTAGTGTTGGAAACACTAATCTCATGCTATTTCTGACCTAGCTGGAAACTATGTACTTAACTGGTTTGCTTCCTTGATATGACAAGCATGATTACTAAACCCTTGATGTCTATGAAAAAGTGGAATTCCTGATGTTTGTCCTTCCTTAATGTAACTGGTACAAAGCTAAAGCAACTCTATCTAAGAATATTAATAATATCCTTTTGAGTTTTTCCTGAAAGAACAGCATTCTTATGAAACCTACAATGCCATCATTTTGTTAATGATTTGGGAATAATAACCAAGTTTTGTGCAGTTCCACACATGATATTTTCTAAAAATTATTATATGAATTAAATTGCATATTTACAAATAACTGGCATATAACAACACCACCACCAAAAGAGCATTAAAACACAATGTTGTCTTCAAAGCAGCATGTTTTTTGTGCACACTGTCCTTCTACGTGGGGGCATTTCATATAGGGATAACAACAGTAGCTCATTCTCCAGTGCTTAGGCAGTTTTTAGCTTAGACTTATGAGTCTTCCAACTAGTGTGGTTTGGAGTTTATGATGGGCAGCTGAGAGCAACCAACTTGTCTCATCTTAAGTACCAGTGAACATCTAGCTGATGGAATACCTTTTACCCCCAAGTATACTGGGCTGTGGTTTTATGCTGTAGTTTATTAGGCCCTTAAGCTTCCAATCCACTAGTTACAGCTCCTAAGAACTGAGCTGTAAAATCTGTAACTGCTAAAGTTACAGCACTTTAAGTCTTAGCAATGAATGGATGCTGTTGACTAGTTAAAAGGGGTGTACACCTATTAGGATTATAACTAATTAATTATACCAAATGAAAGACACAAAACCAAAAGTGATTATGCAACATTATAAGTAATATCGAATGAAACAATGGTCAGGAGAACAGACTGCTAAGTAGGGGTGTGCGAAGCGGGCTCTATTTGATTCGTATTCAGCCCAAGTCAGAGACAGTGATTCAGTTTGTTGATTCGGATCACTGTCCCTGATTCAATTTGGGCAAATCCAAATCTGAAGATTCAATGCTGATTCAGAGAACAAGTGCTTCGGACAAAGACACAACTTTAAAAGTTATTTTACATACCTCGAGGTAGCAGGCATGGCTTATGATCACTGCCATGCTGGGGCACATGGAGCGTCCCACAAGAGTGTGGGGTACTTCCAGTCCACTTCTGGGTCTGCTGGGAAGCATGGAGGCCCCCAAACACTCCTCTTGGCTTGGCAATCAACCCTAGGGTGACCCTGGATGCCCCCGCCCAGACCAGGGAGGCACCAGTCACAGAGCCAAGGGGATGGGTGGGGGGGCCCCCCTTGTGTGCTCCCCGGTGGACCTGGAAGCAGACCGGAAGTGCTTCTGGTCCACTTCTGGGTCTGCTGCTGAGTGTGCTGGTGAGCCCCCCATGCTTTTGTGGGATGCTCCATGTGCCCCAGCATTGCAGCACTCACGAGCCCTTGCTACTTAGAGGCATATAGAAAAAAACAGTTAAAGCTGTCTCTATGTCCTAATCTCCGAATCTTTCTGAATCTGTCCAAATTGATTCAGAGGGTTCCGATTCAATTTGGAGAGATTAAAGGGTCCTCTGGTTTGATTTGGATTCAGAGATTTGACCACCAAATTGGACTGAGTCTCTGCTGAATCGAATCAGGGCCCGAAGCTTTGCACAGCCCTACTGCTAACCTACAGAACAGAAAATAACTAAAATATAAATAATAGGGAAGGAAAATAGATTGTCTGGTTTGTAAATTTGTTGAAAATAAATTAGGTTTGAGAACTAGTCTGAAAGAACATAATAGCTGCACACAACACGGTAGATTTATACAACATTAAAGTTCTAATCCTATGCTGCCAGCTAGTAAAACTATTTCAATAGGCAGTAGAGATCAGAATCTAGTTAATGTTTACAGTGTATGACCCACTTGGTGGTGGCTAATTAAGAATAATCCTGGAGGATAAAAAATACAATATTTTTCGAACAACGCTTCAAACAGTTCATAATAAGTGGACTTGAGGGAACAACTGAAGATCATTTGTTTGACAGAAGAAAATATGCTTTTACTATAGATGCAGGGTCATGAATATGTAACCTTTTATTACAGTATTACTCTTCTGAGTTTTTACTGTCTAATGAAGAAAAATTGAACTGTGGGAATGTCAAAATGTGTGTTCAACTTGAGTCACTTCGTCTGTCCTACTTTAAAACGTCTGTTTATAATAGATTGTTGCATTTATTAAGATATGCATTTTGCTCTGGAAGTTATGCACAAATTTTATGTGAAATGCAATGTTTTAATCAGGAACAGTTCTGAATCTGTTTTAAAAACCTGAGTCTAATAGCAGTTTTATATTCCAGTCAATGAGCTTATACTTCAAGCTATGAATAATACAAGTTGTGGGGGAGGGGAAGGCAGTGATTACAAATCAGTGATTAAATAATAAAGAATAATGATAATATTCATTTTCTGCACCATTTAACTCATTGTTTTATGTGCAGGACCTCGTCTACTTCTAGAACAAAGTCCAAGAAAGATACCTGCTGTTGTTGGAGGCAAGTTTGAGTCTTTTTTTCATTTGCTGAATTCTGTTATAGATTTGAGACTGCTTTCCCATGGGCTTGATGGAGCAAAGCTAGGCCAATAGGTATAAAACCACTGAGATTCTTAAAAGTTTTGCAGATTTGTACAATTGGATCTCGGTGGTTACATTCATGAACAGGACCACTGGTTCTCAAGGAGGACGAAACAGTCTTTGTGCATGGCTTAGAATGGCTTTAGATCCAATACTGCTTAGGCACCACAGTGGGTAAGTATTAAGCTCCTTGTTGCAAAGGTTGATTCAGTTTGATCATGTTATATACCTAGGATCCCAAGTTGGCAATAGAGAGATTTCAGAGATGGACTAGGTGCTTAAGCATTACACAGTTTTCAGTGCTTAAGCATTACACAGATAATAGCGAATAATATTATATGCCTCTAAGAAAGCTTGGAGGTACCTAGGTATAGCTAATAGGAAACACTGGGCATGTCTACATGAGATGCTGTAGCATGTCACAGCATGGAAAGTGTTAATACACTGCTACACAGCATTGTTATGCTACTCTGCAGTAGCATCACCTAAAAGATATTCACTGGCGCTACTGCACAGTAACTGGTTACTGTGCATTTATTTAGTACTTGCTAATACAAGTATTAAATAAATGTTCAGTAATGACTGTGCAGTAGCATCTCCACTGAACACTTACCCCTCTCAGGAGCTGATGTGCCTGACTCATGCTGACTGGCCATATTGGACATGGAAAACTTACTGTGCCTGCCAAGAAGGTCCTCAAGCATGCTGTACTGTTCCTCGGGCTGTCTCCTATATCAGAGGTGATAAGTATATGTCCCTTGGGCAAGATCTGGCCATGGAGCTGGTCCATCTGGTCTGCTTGGCTGCTATTGAATTAGAGGATTTGGAGATGTGGGTAGCATGGTGGGGCCTGCCATGGAAATGGGGTCCCATTGGACATAGGTGGTGGCAACAGGCAAGCGAGGGCTGTGCTGAAACATCCAAATCACTCCAAAGCCACTCAGCCACAGTCACTCCATACCTTCCACTGCAAAAAATGTCCTCTTGGCTTACAGTTGCTTGTCCAACTGCCTCTGACCCTGCTGCCACTGGCCCCACCACAGCTGTTGCTTGTCCTGTGGATCCAATGCGTAAAGAACCCAAAGTTCCAGATATGATCTGGAACCTGGCATAAGCTTGTCACCCCATCCTATACCATAAGCAGTGTAGCTCTATCTGGGCTAAGTGGTACTGTCACTCAGTGATGCAAATTAGCCCACCCAATTGGCCATGTGTGCACAACTACACTGATTTTGGATTAAGAGGCAGCCAGCAAGCAGCTGCACAACTTTCTTAAGAAGACAGCTGTTGGGCACAGGAACTTTCCCACATATACAGAGCTTCTGTACACTTGTGAGTCCTAATGCCTTCCTTGTCTTGTTACTGTGAAAAACTGCCTAATGGCTAATGCTCATCTTTTCTGCAAGAGCTGTTGTCCAGGAAGTATGAGACTAGATTATAGGCCCTTTTCAGCCTGAGGGGATTTGAACCCATATCTTCCACTACCCAGGACACTGCTTTTACTATGAGCTAAGTAAACGCACACCCCATTCCTTCTTTTTGAAGGTTGGCCACTGGGCAACCAAACTTGGAAGAGGCATAGGGTCAACAAGAACAGAGACATGCTTCTATGGCTCAGATAGGAGCCACTTTCTGGTAAGAGGGAACCGTGGGTTCCTGCCAGATTTCTGACTTTTTGTTTTGTTTTTAACCCTAAAAACCCAATAGCTGTCTACTATTAAATACATGAAGTAGTCCTGGTAGCAGGGCACTTAAATCTACAGTTCTTGTATTCTTGACTGCCCAGTGGCCTAGCTTCAACAGGAGGGGTGGAAAATGCCCTTACCTAGCATATTCAAGGTGCTTAGGGCACTCTTCTTGGAATGGAAAATGTGGGGTTGAATCTAGTCAAAGTGAAAAGAACTTAGAACTCAGGTCCCCCATTTCATTGCTAAATCATGTAGCCAGTAGGCCACTAGGCAAAACTTAGGAATCCCTATCACCACGCGAAATACAATGCTGCTGATGTGAGTAAATAACGCTTTTTGTTCAACTATTGATGGAGGCCTCTTTGGGCTTTTTTTGGTGTCTAGGTAAGTCAGAGCAACATTTTGATCACCTCTGAGCATGTGCTTTAGCATGGGGAACTCTGCAGTCCAAAAACAGGTTTCTATCAGATTCACTTGCCTTATGATTTTTGAAGCTGTCAGTGCACACCCAATTTAAATTGTTTTTTGGGACTTAGGCACCTAAACACTTCTGTCCCATTTTGGTACAACTTTGAACCCTGACCTAAGCGCTTTGGAGATTTCAGAGTACAAGGAGTTACATACAGGTGAACTGTAAGCATAATCATTATCACCAGTGTTAAATTGCTCTGGGATGGATTACAATTTCAGGAATACTATTTAGGAATATTACTGTATATTTCATTATAACGTAATGGCGAATAATATTTCTGGCTCTACATTTATCAACTACCTCCCCAAAGTAAAAAACCCATTAAGTGAAAGATACAAAGTCAGCCCTCCCCTAAAAAGATCTTTAATTGTTCTGTCATTGCCTTATGTAATTTACTGGTCCAATAACAATGCTAGTAAAATTGCTGTAATATTAATTTTTATTTTAAAACAGGAATGTGTTCAATCATTTTGAACATATTCCTGTAGCATATATTTTCTCCCTCCATACCATACAGATCCTTTTTTTCATCCACTTCTAATTATTAGGTATAGCTTATGAAACTAGTAAACTACATGTCATTCTTTTCTGGTGTCTTGCATTGCAGTCTAAAACTGACAAAGCAGCAAAAATATAACAAGATCCATAAAGTATTGTGCAGTCATTCAGTCACAATGTGGCATGTCCTGATAATCTCGCATAGTAAGTTTAGTTTATATCATCTAAAAGATAGTCATAATGTAAGATAAAAATAGATGGACTGAAATCTCATCACTTACAACGAATGCAGTGGCACTTTACCTAAATTTGAGAAACAGAAAATTTAAAAGGGATTTCTGCAGAGCCTATGGCTAGAACAAAGAGTTAAACTTAATTAGACAGTTATTTATAATGCTATGATTAGCGTCAATCAAAATAATTGGGCAAAAACAGGTTATCTCATTCCCCAAAGTTGGATGATGTTTTCTCTATAAATACACTGTTCCATTGTATGACAAGAGAATAAATCCGTCATTGAGAGAGACACGATAGTATATAAATAAATTGCAGCCCTGCCTGTTTGAACCCTGCTAATCAGCAATAAGAAGTTTCTACAATGTTAAGCACTGTTATCCACCAATTAACCATAATGGGGAAAAAAGACATAATGGAAAAAGGCTGCTTCATTTGTTAAGCGATAAGTTTAACAAATCTTGTGGCCTGTTATAAACTGGTTAGGGGGGATCAGCAGGCGCTGTGGGAGTCCCTGTTCCCCCAAGCGCCGCAAGGAGTGCCCAGGAAAAACGGTCACAAGCTGGCGGAGGGAAGGTTTAAGTTGGACATCAGGAGGCGCTACTTCACGGTCAGGGCGGCTAGGGTCTGGAACCAGCTTCCAAGTGAGGTGGTGCAGGCTCCCACCCTGGGGGTTTTTAAGAGGAGGTTGGATGACCACCTTACTGGGGTCATTTGACCCCAGTGCCTTTCCTGCCATGGCAGGGGGTCGGACTAGATGATCTGCTTAGGTCCCTTCCGACCCTAGAAACTATGAAACTATAAGTTTAATCTTAAAATTATAATAGTTGTACAATACAATCTACTGTCAAATTAATGTTCCTGTTTTTCAAAATTAAGGAGCATGTCAGAAGCACTGCAATTCCATATGGAAATGACCATTTATGACCGGTTTCCTATATAACATTAGAACATTACTGCATGTAATTGAAGTATTTGGGAAGGTATATTAGGTAACTATTTGGCAAACAGAAATCAGGGTAATTTCTTGGTAAAATCACCCAACTAAACTTCCAGGCAATGCAGATTCCAAATGTTGAAAACAGAGATCTTGGTGCTCATGGGAACTGTAGGTAACAAAATCTAGAACTGAAAAAGGAGAATTCCATAACTAAACATGGAGAATGGTGCATCTTAACCATGTTAGCCTGACTTGAACAAATCTTTGACCATGTTTTTTAATACAATGGCAATAAGAATAACTGGTACAGCTATACTATTTTAGTGTACAAAGCATTGGAGAAACATTAACTGTATGATGTGTGCTTATACAGTAAACTCTGGTTAATTCACTACTTGCAGAGGAATGTAAATAATGGCAGATTATCCAGTTGTTACCCATTATCAGGAGAGAGAGAGAGTGAAGAGCAGAATAGCAGATTAAACCACAGTGGTGAATTATCTCATAGATTAATTCAGCAGAGTTACTGTAATATGGAAAGCAGGTATTCACTAATCAGTCACATAAAGAGGAACAACTAGGAAGTTTATTTAGAAAAAAGTACTTGCCATAAAATTCATATATGGATCAGACAAGGAAACGCAATAACCAAATGAGAGGAACATTTCATTTTCCAAGGATGAAAAACTGGTTAACAGAAAGAAGAAAGCAGAATTAACAGAATCATCTTTAGCACAGAAAAAGGTTAATCAAAGATACAAGTACAATGGTTCAGAAATACTAAAAATCCCAAACCAAAATTAGATGAGTTGTTCTTCAAGGTTTGAAAATTGTAAATGTTATAAAAAATTTGTTTTATTTCTTTCCTCCACTGAGGTGTCCCCCTTTCTGCCAGTGACCTTTCATGTGATCTTAGCCAAGCTTTGTCTTCAATGAGCTCCAGTGACATTGTTTTTTGTTTTTAAAAAAGGATGCAGATACCAGTCTTTATGAAGTGCATTGCTGTATTCAGATGAAAAGCTCTACCTGGATTAGATCCTGTGTGCCTTGGGAAAGATGCACCATTTACTTCAATGTATTTCAGAAAT